TCCTTATATATTAAAAGAAGGGAATATTCCCTTTTTTATCATACATCCAAAGAATTTATTATTTTCTCTTTTATATATTCAAAGAAGGGAATATTCCCTTCTTTATCGTTTATCCAAAAAATTAATTATTTCCTTTTCATATATTTTCAAAGAAGGGAAAACCCCTTGACCCATTAAGAAGTTTTCTTCTTCTTTTTATATACACGAAAGAAGATTCCAGGAGTGACTATAATAAACAAAAATAGTAAATCTAATACATGTCATACTTTTCTGGGGAATGGTACATTCTGGGGAATGGTACATTCTGGGGAATGGTACATTCTGGGGAATGAGATTCTGGGGAATGGTTTTCTGGGGAATGGTTTTCTGGGGAATGGTTTTCTGGGGAATGTTATAGAACCGTTTGTAGCATTTGAAAAAAAATAACAATGTATCATCTTCAGTTATTTATGTATAGTATAAATTCTGAGTAATTAGTGTACATAATAAAATATTATGAGATTCTATTGAATAATACCGGCCTAGATTTGATGAAACATTATTTTAAAAAAAATAATGCAATTTCATTTGAAATGCAAATTTTCTTGAAAGTTAACCTTTGCGTCTCTGACGTATTATGCTGTTCTAAATGTTGTAGTTAATTTGGCTGTAGTTTTCTCAAATTTTGACCGATTCAAACCAAACACCCTGCACATAATTGAGAAATTACCAGAGATTTATAAGACACCCTTAATGTTCACGTCGCGTTCTGTATTTACACGGATATTCCTTGGTGTCTGTCCAATGGTGAGACATTTTCATTATTTTTTATATCTACTATGAACCTATTCGTTGTCAAATCATGACCGAATCGTATATGTGACTTTGTAAATCGTCGAGGACATCAGTTGATTTGTTCTACTAGATCAACCAAGACTGCAATAATGTCTGTAGTATCGAAAAATGTCCAATCAGATTCAAAGTGTCTATGTGGATCATGCATGATCTATTTCCGAGTAATCCAGATGTTGTAGGTTCTTCAAATCGTCCTGGAGTTCAAATAATTTGATCTACTAGATCAACCGAGATTGGGACAATATCTTTAGTATCGAAATATTTCCCGGCAGATGCACAGTGTCTATGTGGATCATGAATGAACTATTGCTATGTATACCAGATGTTTTAGGATCTCTAAATCATTCTGGAGTTCAGATGATTTATTCTACTAGATCAACCACCACTGGAATAAAGTCTGTAGTATCGAAATATGTCCAAACAGATTCATAGTGTCTAAATGGATAATGATTTATTTCCACGTATACCAGATGATCTAGGTTCTCCAAATCGTCCTGCAGTTCTAGATGTTTTACTAGATCAACAAAGACTGGGATAATATCGAAATATCGATATGGAAATCCTAGACAGTTCAGCTTCGAACCTGTTCGGATACGGTTGTGTATAAGTTTATTTCTGTTTTGTGCGTGCGTTCGCTGATTTTGCCAGATTAGCGCTGGCACTCTGCCTCCTGGACGGTTATACGTGTGTGATTGGTGGTTTTCTCGCTTTCCGAGAAGTTTTGGAATCGAAAAAGAAAACGTGATGCATCATGTTTGCAGGCATCAGAAGAAGTGTCGCTATCGGCGTTGTTTGTTTTTTTCTTCGCTTGTGCTCCCGGTACAGAAATTTGTGGCGTCGCGTGTGATAGTTTTTGATTTCAGTTTGTTTACGCGTTGTATGATTTTGTGAGCGGTCGCTTCGTGTTCGCGTCATGGAGCAATCGACTACATTCGACCAGAGGATTGATCCCCGTAGGGCGGGTCTATGATCGGAGCTACTACACCAAGCGTGACATAGCTGCTTGCAAGGGATTCAGTTGGACTGATTTGGTGAGATTGTTCCATTTTTCTACTTTTGTCTATTTAAACTTAATTTCTATGAATGCGTATCGTTTGGAATCATTTGATTCGGATGAGACTCTTAACTTTTATTTGTTTACATTGTGTTTCAATTGGTATTCTTAAGAACTTCATAAATAAGGTTTCAATATTTAAATTGAGCAGATCGACTAGCCTGGTGGCTGCCGCTTTTGCTTACTGAGTAGAAGACCGTCGGGGATCCACATTGTAAAGATTCCCTATTTTCAGCTTTTTTACAGGCTGGAGTTGTTGTTTGAACCATTTAGTTTATTAATTTAATTTATCTGTATAACAATTATTCACAAGCATTCTTCCAGGTCAATTCAAGAATAGTTTGATGATGATAAATCTTCCTAATATTCACATTACAGTTATGACCCGATCCTGTCAATCTCTCCGCGCATCAGACTGTTATTTTTCAATAATTATACATAATTGTAATTTCATACCTTCCTCCTTCAAGATGAATGTTTAAGATACAAATACTTTGCTAGCTGACAAAATGGGGTCATTGCTGTATAATTATTCTCTTTTTGCAGCCTTCATTCAGACTGGATCTATTGATTTAAATTATTTGAGTTTTCTTCCAGCTCTTTGATGACGGAACATCACTAGATTTATACTGTAATGATTCGCTCTTACAGCTTTCACCCTGGTTTTGTCTGTTGATTTGATTTGTTTGAATTGGTTTTCAGCTCTTTGGTGTTGGCAGTCGCGGGCGATCAATTTTGCTCATGCTCATGCTCTAAGTTCATTTTCAGCATTTCGATGATGGAACGTCTTCAGATTTGTATTATAATGGGGCTTATTGCGGATGTCACATCACGGTGAAAAGTTGTCACTTGTCGTCACGGTGAAGTGATTCCCATTTGATTTGTACGGTAATCACGGCTCTTATTCTGAGTATCACTTTCTTATCACCGTGTAGTGACACCCGTAATAAGGCCCAATGATACACCATTTGGTTTTGGCTTCGGGCAAATCCAAGTATAATGCATGATAACACTGATTCATTTAAAACCATGGTCGCATCACTTATCAAGGTGAATCCTGATCCAACGAACCCAACTTACTAACAAAATCTCCTTTTCTGTGTCTTTTGTTGGAAATTTCAGGGTTACATCTTCCTTATTGGGAGCTGAGGAGACATAGAGCTGCATCATATTGTATGTAAAATAATTATTATTTTCATTGCGGAATACCAGTTTTTTTATCCATATAAATGTATTTTCATTATTACGTATTTTAATGTTCTGATATATTTCATTTCTCCATTACATATGTTTACTATATATATAAATAAATACTGGGTTGGGAGGGAGCATCAGGGTATCATTTGACCTGAAACTGGACGATTGGAGTGGTATGACAACCGGAGTCTAGGAGGGAATAAACACTATCATTTTCTTTATCCTACCGATTCGATTGTGATGGTGTGAATTCTACTCCAACAGTTTCAGTTAGATTGACGCGCCCTTCTTAACAAACCATCCTGTAGGAAGCTTAATAAGTATTGCGAATTGCGTTATTCGATTTGTTGGATCGTATCGTTGGAAGGAGATTCTTAAATTCCCGTGGATTTCGCGTAAGTGTCTCTGCTTACGGGTCCACCCCACCGTTTTTGGCCCTTCATACAGCGATATTGTGAATTCAGATCGGTAGCTCAAATTGATCTTGCTATTAAGTGGAGCTGCATACAAGACAAGATCTTCGAAGGGATGGTGGCTACCTTACATACATACATACATATCGATATGGAAATCCTAGAACATTTGACTTGCACGAAAATAGGTCGGGCACGATCCACATAGACACTTTGAATCTGTTTGGACATATTTCGATACTACAGACATTATTGCAGTCTTGGTTGATATAGTAGAACAAATCAACTGAACTCCAGGACGATTTAGAGAACCTAGAATATCCGAATACATGTCAATTACTCGCATATATACGATTCGTGTATGATTTGATAACGAAAAATGTTATGTTCATATTGAAAATAAAAAAACCATGAAAATGTTTCACATTGGACAGACCCCAGGGAATTTCCGTGTAAATCCGGACGTATGGAATTGAGATCATTTCTTGATTATTTGCAGGGTGTTTGGTTTGAACCGGTAAAAAATTGAGAGCCAAATGAACAACAAAATTGATGACAGCAAAATAATCCGGGACGGAAAGATTACAATGAATTCCACAATTTTTGTGACAGCACATCAGTCCCTTCGCGATTTTCACGACATCTTTTATTGTTTCCGCGATTTTCGCGACTGAAAGTACAAATCCGCGAAAATCGCGAAATCCGCGAAATTCGCGAAATCCGCGCCTGTTGTAACAGCCCTGAAAATGTATTGTCGATAACGAAGCTTCAGGGAGACAAAAACAATTATATAACCTGAAAAATGTTCAAACAAATTCAATGTACTAAATACAGCGAAGAAATGTTTTTCATCTAAAATTACTAAAATATTGTCAGTAATGAATACAATACTTGTAGTTCACTGGCTGTGTGAACAATAATGTTTATTTACTTTGCTTGTTTGGTACCGCGCTTGACAGTTCGATTGGTACTTCTGGCTTCACTCTTGGCGGGACTCTTATTATAACATTGACTCTGGATAATTTAGGTACAAATCCCTGCAATTGTATTTTGTTTTCTCCGCCCATCTCTCCCTCTGAGTATTTGTAAATTTCCATAACCATTTCAGTTAAAGTTTAGCAGGGATTATAGACAATATTTAACCATTTTGGGTAAAGTCCAGGTATGGTTTGCGTTTATGCAGGTCCTTGTGCAGGTCAAGGTGAACAAAAAGTTTTTCCATGGTTATAGAAAAGAGCAAATTGTTTTTTTTTTTAAATATAGTTTCAGTTTGTACCAAATTACCTATCTCAAATTTTGGAATCCTTGATTTGGAAACGATTGCGCTGTGTGGATCAGCTAGAACCACCTTAATGAACTATGTATGAATCTATAATGTAATCTATTATAGATGGGTACTTTAGTCTCCTTTCCAACCTAAGTAAACAAACTAGATTGATCAATGCCGATACCAACAGAGGCCAACGACAAAAATAATTTATTCGGGACAGGTAGGGACTTACCTCCAGATTCGTGCATTGAAAAATTTTCTGAGCGAGATGATCGTCTCCTGGATACGAGAAAATTGGCTCCATATTGATGTTCGACAGCAAGCACAACCGGCACAGTTTGTTTAGCCTGCAACATAAAACATGGTTTTCGAAATTCTTGTTGAATCAAAAAAATGATGCTATAGTATTGTCATCTTACGGGTAGCAGTCATTAGTCGCCGGATGTACCCTAGGCGTAGCGACATTGCTGATCGATGTGGCACTGGCAAGTTGCTTTCTCACGGGGAATGAAGATGTTTTCGCCTTGTAATGCCCTCTTCCTTTTCTACCGCGTTTTGCCATTGCGAACGGAGGAACTTTTCGTCGGAATCCTTCGATTTAACACTTTCCGAGACCGGTTAATATCGAAGTAAAAGAGGAAAATAAAATTTTAACCACACAAGAAGCTGCTGGCGGAAAGAATTTTAGCTCAAACGCCAAGTGAATTTCCACTTTCGACCGATTTGCACTCACGCACACATTCATGCAAAGTTTATGCAAGTTTATGTCAAACGATCTAAACAGGTAAGTGTACTGTTAATTTAACTTCATCGCTTTTTTACGTTTATTTACTTTGACAATCGATCAACACTCAATGACTTTTATATTATAAGGTCTGCGCGGAAACAGCAAAATACGCTAAAATGACTATAAAGGACTAAATTTTGACTATAAAGTACACTCTTAGCTACGATCACCGACAAACCGACATGAAACTAAAACTTAACTCTTGATCGATAATCCATAACGGTGGATTCAAATGTGCAGCGATCCCATCTGTCAAAACCATAGAAATTTGTTATCTAAATAAAAATAATTTTCCCGGAATAGATTAGACACGAACTAGCTCAAACATTTAGTATGTGTGTTCGTGGCTAGGATACACATTTTTCGCGAACACGACGGCAGATGTCAGTTTTGTGCTTTGTTCAGAAATTTGATAATACCATAATACTTTGTATGATCATTCATCTCGGTCTGTCGGTGCTACGATTACCTAAAATTATCGGTAAAAAATTATCGGTTTTTTTACCGATAAAAATCGTTACTTTTCACTATAAATAGGCTACTTTTTAGTATAAATTAGGTAATTTTTAGCGTTAATTATTGGTAATCCATGATTACCCCTGTGATTACCGATAATTTAGGTATGTGCACTTTCTTGGATTATCGGTAATTTTTACCGATATCTAGGTATTTTTTCCCGACTTTAAGGTATGTGCATCTTAGCGTGTATGCATATTCGGCTAAAACCAGCCCAGTGGCAGGCGCGTATACGGGGGGGAACATGGGGAACATGGAACATGGGGAACATAGGGAACATGTTATACCGTGACAGCGGGCCCAAAACAGCAAAATAAACAATTTGAGCCCGGGACATGCTGCCTACTGTCAAACGCTATAGGCAACCGGTGAACACAGGTGAACACTCGTGTTTATTTCAGTTACCATGGAGACGTAATTTGTGATTAGCCCCGGTCCCTTTCAAATTGTATCATTATTTATGAACGGCCTTATATTTGAAATGACGTTTCACATTCATCTAGTGATGTCCGATTTTCATTCGAATAATCGTTTAATCGATTAACGAACCGAAAAGTAAACTATTTATAATCGGTTAGATCAAGCCGATATAAGCATTAACATCTCCACAGGATCATCACCGATCGTTTCATACATGTGCTGCACTCTCATTCGTGGAAAAATGGCAGCACAGCGAACAAAAAATAATCGATTAGTTGTTAATCGAGTAATTAAAAAATGGGACATCTCTGATTTTGGTGTGATTGTTTTGATAAAAATGAGCGCAAAATTTCATCTATTCCGAGGGGGCAGCAAAACCACAAAATTACCTTGAATACGGGGGGTTCTCATTGGATGAAAGGGACCGTGAAAGAAGACACTAAAATAGAAAGTTTTTCTTCCGACAGTTTCATCTTAGTATTCATCTTTGGTATAGGCCTTCCCGAAAATAAAATTACCTAGGTTCCAAGCTAATCGATGCACCCCTCGAAACATAGGAAAATCCACGAACCCCTCATTTTATCTGTCAAACTTTCATGGCAAATCAAAACAATCATTGTGTAGTACTAAAATTTCGACTAGAATGGGACACGTTAATCGATTTGCTTGGGACCAATAGGCTAGTCAAGTAGCGAGCCAATTTAAAATCGATAGTTTCGTATTGATTGTTGTTATAGCTCTCCAGTCTGGACAGCGTTTAAAATAGAAAGTTTTTCTTCCGACAGTTTCATCTTTGGTTGAACACCTTGTACAATAAATGCAAATGCAGTCTAAAAGGCAATTGCGTGCCCCTCGGTCTCAAGTTCATCATGCGCCTATGCACTGAAGGCATCCATCAAGCTGATGGTTGCAGCTAAAGTCGGTGTATAATGAGTCACGCCAAGAGTGAAGCCAATAGCGGCCAATAGTACGTTCAGACTACAGAGTTATAACAACAATCAATACGAAACTAACGATTTTAAATTGGCTCACCACTTTAGTAGCCTATTGGTCCCTAGCAAACGATTAACGTACCCTATTCTAGTTGAAATTCTATTACTACACTATGTTTGTTTTGATTCGCTATGAAAGTTTGACAGATAACATCAGGGGTGTGTGGATTCATGCAGAACATGCAGGGGTGAGTGAAATAGCTTGGGACTGCTTGGGACCGTTGTTCTGGTACTGAGTGAGCCAAAAATAATAATGATTTTCTTCGGGACCTACTAGTCTTAGAGTTACCTCTATGGTTATAACATGTTATAGCGCTATCTTGATGGTGGTTTCTGTGTTACAATTAGTTGACAACCGTTATAACATGTTATAACCATAGAGGTAACTCTAAGACTACTGGGTCCCGAAGAAAATCATTATTATTTTTGGCTCACTCAGTACCAGAACAACGGTCCCAAGCAGTTCCAAGCTATTTCACTCACCCCTGCATGTTCTGCATGAATCCACACACCCCTGATGTTATCTGTCAAACTTTCATAGCTAATCAAAACAAACATAGTGTAGTAATAGAATTTCAACTAGAATAGGGTACGTTAATCGTTTGCTTGGGACCAATAGGCTACTAAAGTGGTGAGCCAATTTAAAATCGTTAGTTTCGTATTGATTGTTGTTATAACGTTGGTAGTAGTGTTGCCATGTGGTAAATCCAGTAGTAGTGGTGTTGCCATGTGGTACACTGAAAAATTGCAATAGCAGGTTAGTCACCAAAGTTTTCGAGCCGCTCCGTCTGTCACTTCGTTTGTGGTATTAGTTGTTATAACCACAAACGAAGTGACAGACGGAGCGGCTCGAAAACTTTGGTGACTAACTTGCTATTGCAATTTTTCAGTGTACCACATGGCAACACCACTACTACTGGATTGTACCACACGGCAACACTACTACTAGATTGAACTAGCATTTTCACCAAATGTACTAGAATGTTTTGGTTCTATCTCTTTCACTCTACTCAAAACTGAAATGCATTAAAAAATGATAAAATGATACGCACTCTTTGCACACTGTCAAAGAATCATTGTACACAAAATCAACTTTGTTCATATCAAAACAAAAAAACTAACCCATCTGGTGGATGATGGCACAAGCTTCCAAGAAAATTCTATTACAGTGAACCACATTATTTTAATGGATTTCTTCGCCAGTAAGTCGTCTGTCACTTCGTTTGTGGTTATAACTCTCCAGTCTGGACAGCGTTCAAGTCTACCTTTTGAACTGTTAAACCAGCAACCTATCGTACAAAGTAAACAAACATTACGATGCTATGGTCAACGAAAGGTATTGCAATCAAATATAAAATATAATCGAAGAAATGACCATAATCACGCAGTGAGCATTAAATTGTCGTGGGATACGTTTGGTAATGATCAGTAATGAGAATTTCTACTATTTTTTGATAAGATAATTTGACATAATCACCGATATAATGATTTACTACAGCTTCTTTTTTTTTCTCGCTAGAAGTCATTTGAAGTTGATGTACACGGTGTTTCGTGAATACCCATTAATGGGTAAAAAAATACCCATTTTCAAACCATGTATGCAGCTGTCAAAAAATGGGGGAATTTTGAAATCATAAAATGGGTGAAAAAATACCCATTTAAAGAATCAGTTCACGGTTGAATAATGGGTATATTTTTTACCCATTAATGGGTGAAAAAACACTTCGAAATTTTATCGTCTCATTTCCGTCACCGGCTCATTGGGAATGCAAACCTCGATGCAAACAGTTACTGTCCACAGCAACGATCTCCGGAAAATGTTAGAATCCAAAACGTTGGAGAGGCTTACGGATAAGTCAATACAATGGATAATTTGTATTATAATGTTTCGTGAAAAATTTGAGCGGAACACCTGCATTTATTGTCAATGTTTTAAAAACATTTTTACATCAACGAGCGCTTGCATCCTCCATTTGTAAAAATGGGTATTTTTTCACCCATTTAACAGTAAACACAATATAAGAAAATGGGTGAAAAAACACCCATTTATTGACAGACCACCCATTTACCCATTTATGAGTAAACCATAGTTTACCCATTAAATGAGGAGGGGCACTTTTAGCGGAAATGGGTATTTTTATACCCATTAATGGGTTTTCGCGAAACACCGTGTAGAAGTCCTCTGTTGCCAAGTGAAAAGAAAGGGAATCTTTCGGAAACCGTGATGCGAGTTCAACTGTTTTTCTCTTGGCGTGACTCATTATACACCGACACTAGTTGCAGCGATGAACCCTCTCTTGAGACCTTTAACGATTCTAAAGTAGATTTTCTTCCGCAAGCCTTCCGGGAATCCTTTTACGAAGAACGATGGAACTTTCTGCTTCTTTCCCACCTTCGGTTCAACGCAATTTTTTTATTAGAATTATAGACGTTTTCTAGGATGGCGTAACGATTATTCGCCAACGGCTTCATCAATGCCAATTGAGCACTGGTGGTGTCCGATTGGGATCTGGTCCCAGCCGGAATAGCAGTCGCGTCAACACGCGGCGGTTTCCCGAGGTCGTGCGATGCTTCACCAAACACCGCGAAAAAGGAGCGTTAACACTATCGCAACGAACTAGCGAACAACTCGAGATAGCGAGTAAAAACCGAACTGTACTGCTTGACAATGTAAATGCGGCTTCGGATTGTTTCGTTTGATACCAACTATGTGTTGGCTCTGTTAGGAAAGACACCTTGTGGTCTAAGCAAATGTATGGGCAATTTTGATGCTTCCAATTTTCGTCAAATTGCTTAGTTGATTAACTATTTTCACTATTTGTACTATATGCCAAACAAATGCTAGATAAATCGTCAAATGGCATATTTGCACATCAATGCTTTCGAGAAATATGCGTTTGAAAACACCCTCCATTTTCATTACATGCCTCATTTTCGATTTCTTAATGTGCCCCACACTATAGTAAAGAAAGACGTAGTCGTATGTCAAAAGAGTGAGCTTCCCTAATAAAAATGTTAAAGTTAATTTGCTTAACGACGTGTTCGAGGTATCATCCAAACCATTTGTGGAACAGTTCAACCATTCGGGTTATCGTTCGTTTATGTTTTTTTATTATTATTATTAGGGTTGGGAACCGTATGATCGATTGGGGTTCGTTATGAATGAATGGTGCGAACTGATCCACGTTTTTGATCTACTGTGTCATCTTTTTAAATAACCTATTCACGTTTATTTAAAAGACATATATTTTATTCTATTCTGCTATTTCCTAAAACTAACATAATATGTAGATATAATGCATAATATGTTGGAAGATGAGCTTAATACAAGTTGTGCGTTAAAGCACAACGGATTGCGGAATATTTTATAATTGCAACAAAGTTTTCGATTTGGTATTCTACATCACTGAATAAAACACAATGCAATGAACAAAACTGAGCCATTCATACCTTATTAAAACGTGTTTATATGAAATAAGCTTCTCGTGCTTGTAAAGTTTAAAATTCTCCCAGTTGGGTACAGCTTTTCCTCCTATCATTTAACTGACCATTTTCTTCGTCTTCAATTTCACTATTTGTTTGTATGATCCCGTACGTACTCAAGTCTACTGTCTTAAAAAATCAATTAGTATCGATTTTAATCAGCCCATTTGTTTATTCAAATACCGGAATCCATCCACCGGGATTTCGGTCTAATTTTTAGGTAGTTCAAATATACCGTAGGATCACAAAGTGAACTGGGGTACATTAAGGGAGAATCGCACCTGTTAGAATCAGCAGGACGCCGCTATGTGAGATCGACGATTTCTATGGGCGGTTCAATGATTGTTACGTCGGGAATATTATTCAAAGGCATCAAAAGCTCATCAAGATCCATTCTTTCCAGCAGTAGATCTAAATTGAGAGGTTCCAGTTCTACACGACACGGACGAACATCGGTGTGTCTGGCAAGGCTTTGTTTGTCGTCGAATCGCTCATCACAATAATCGCATTTGTAGGTTGTTATTTCATCGTAGCATGAACTATCGTAAGGATTGAAATCGTCCAACACATTATGGAATTGGGTCGACTTCCGACGCGAATTGCCTCCTCCACTGGATGGATAGTCGCTTCCATAGTCAGAACTCACCGAGGTGCGACGAACAGGACTGACATAGCCATAGGTCATGCATGAGTTTCGTCTCCTAGGGAATACAGCCTCTCCAGTAGCTGCTCTGTGTATAATCGAACGATAATGCTGATGCAAACCCTGAGGACTGGCGAAAAACCGTTGGCATAATTTGCATTCGATTACACCGTCCGACACATGTTTTTCTGCTTTGTGCTTGTTAAGCTCTGCACTTGTAAAAAAGGACTTAGAACAGAACTTACATGTCAATTCATGCTTTTTATCGGTATGGTAGAGATCAATATGTTGCCGGATTTGTATTGCGTACGGAAATGATCCATCGCAAAATTCGCAATTGAACAAATCGTCACTCCTTATCGGTTCTATTGTGGAAGCACGAGAGGTTCCACCAGCAGACCCCTCGCTAGATGGACTCGGACAAATAGCACCGTTCAAGCGAGCCAGAGGTATTACTAGAGAAGGAACCTTGTTTGCAACGGAAAGGCTCAACCTTTTCCTTTTAGGGGACTCTTCTTGGGTGTCGGTTTCATATGCTAATTGCCGGATAGGAAGTACCTCTTCAGCATCATCGTCTCCATCATCATCCTTCTCATCATCGTTCTCACTCCAGGAAACATCGCTTGCACTTGTGGACTCCTCCAAGTTGCTACGTGTCGATTTTCTCCCAGAATTTGTTCGCTTGTGTTTAACTGTTGGCATTTGATTCGCACCACCTGTGCGAATTACCATTCGAAGTTCATTGCCAGTTGATTCAGAACTTCTTTGTTGGCTTGCCAGAAGGTTTTTGATTATCTTATTATTTCTTTGACACAGCTCAAAAAATTGATAACTTTTGTATACCGATGTCTTGCAGGACATGCAAATTGATGTTGGGCCAACTGCAGCATTTTCCTCGACCTGTAAAAAAGGTAATCGCTATCAAATAAGTTTAAAAATAACTCGTCAAACCAACTAAACAAACCTGAACGCCAGTGCACGCGAAAATTTTGTTGGCCAAACTGTTATCGCCAGGATGAATAAAAATCGGCTCCGTATCTTCTGCACGCATCAAGCAAAGGCGGCAAATGTAGCGAAATGCTGATCTAAACAAAATTCCAATGCAAACGCAGAGTGAACGCAGGAAGGAAATTGCTTTCGTCGATAAGGATTGAATTTATACTTACTCTGAACTTGTTTTTGGTGGTTGTTTCGGTAGATTGCACCTGCAACATAGTTCACTCATATTTTGTGCAATTTATTGAATTTTTGTTCAAAATATCTATCGAAAACACGTAAACTTCTTCGGAACTTCTTGTAATCTATGTTGCCAGCGCCATATTTTTATTATAGTTCATTTGCTATAATTAATGCTTGGTTTGATGATGATGTTGCTTCACATTGCATGCCCAGTGGTTTTGAAATAAATTTGACGGATAAAACCCTTCAGTAAAAGTATGGACGACTGAAACTCGGACTGAAACCAGAAATCTGAAAAGAGTTGTTCCCACGCACCGAGGCTCCCACACACAATTTTTATCTAAAAATTTTGCTGTATTTTGCCGATCTATAAAACCACACTCAACCAAAACATCATCCTGGCATTGAATGATTATTGCCTCACTCAAGCCCTATAACTATTATCAGATGGTTTTGAGATGATCGTCATTCGATTTATCATCTGTTGGAATATGAACAAATCAAATGACAATCATCCTTATAATGAATGATTTTAGATCGATTTGCGAAAACCAAAGTAGACATAAATCAAACATAAAATCATAGGATAATCGTATTATTTTCAGTTAATTATAACATGAAATTATATGATCGAATTTCGGATGAAAATCAGGTGCACAACATCAATTCATATTTTACAATTTATTTATGAATATATTATTTACACGTTGTGATCTAAACTAATACCAACACGGAAACGAATTCTGTTCATTTGAATCAAAAATAAAAATGTTCATTCTATAAACATATGAATAATTCAAAATAAATTTTAAACATGTTTGTAACAAAACTATATATGTTTGAATTAAAGTCAAAAGCATGTTTATTTCAACTATATAGAATTTGGGTAAACGATTTTTAGCGTGCCCTGCATTTTTTTCCTTCTTGTTTACATTCGGAAAAAAAATTGCCCCAGCTTTGCCAATCAACTCAAAACGGCCCGTAACAAAACCGAAGTCATGGATGCGGAAACCCACCTAGGTAAGTGTCTTAACAAAGGAAAACGAAAATCCGAAATGGATTTTGAATCTATTCCGGATCCTCCAGACCACCCCCCCTGATAAAGTCATTTCTTCCTGTTTGCTTCGAGCTTTTGTCTTTGATCTTCTCTTCTGCCACAAGCAGATCCGAAACATGCACCTGCCTTGTGTTCTTGCTCTTTCCGTAATTGCTCCAACTTCTCCGAAACTTCAGCAAGCTATATCATATTCACACAATCCTGACTCGACTGATTAATTTGTTGGATCAACTTCTTACTAATTTTTTTTTTTTTTTTTTTATATCTTTATTAAGGAGACTTTCAGCCGTTGGCTGGCTCGTCTCCGACCTTCTTACTAAAATCAGTGCTGCATTCATCCGATGTCAATTATACAAGGTCTGGCCCAACCGGCTTATTAGGTTTTGCACCGTCGGGGTTAACCTCAATCTGATGACAGTTCAGTGGTACTGTTTACGTGGACTTAGTCGATTTTTTCTTGGGTAGATTTTCTGGATCATTTTTCAGATTGCAGTGAACTGTAAACCACACTTTTGCAATGTCCACGAGCAACATCCTTTCACACCGCATTTCTTCAACAATTTTCAAGTTAAAATTCGGAAATTTTAAAATATATTTTTTCGAAAAAACAACTAAGTGCTTGTAAACAGTACCACTGAACTGTCAAAAAGGTCCAGCCGTTTAACACTGAGTTCATTTGTGACGTCACGCTGCAGAACCTAATTGGTATAGACGAGTGCACGGATGGATTTGAGTTCACTCACTCGACAAAAAGTGACACAACAGCTGGGCCCTGTTTACTAAAAATGAACACATGAATCATGCTCGCGTAACATTTGAAAAGGACCTATCAACTTTTGTAAATAATTTGCTAGGTCCTTTTCACGAGAACCGAAGTACGCCCACGCAAACCAAGAGCACTATCGGGAAGGGGAGAATTTCCTCTGCCCGATGGTGTTGTTAGTTTGCGTGAGCGTATTCGGTTCGCGCGAAAAAGGCTTAACAAGTTTTGTGTACATAAGTTGATAGACCCGTTTCAAATGTTACGTGAGTATTATTCATGTGTTCATTTTTAGTAAACAGGGCCCCGCTGTTGTGTCACTTTTTGTCGAGTGAGTGAACTCAAATCCATCCGTGCACTCGTCAATTAGTGAAATGTGAAAGTGTCTAGTGGTGGTCGTATTAGGTTCTGCAGCGTGACGTCACAAATGAACTCAGTGTTAATCGGCTGAACCTCTTTGACAGTTCAGTGGTACTGTTTACAAGCACTTAGTCGTTTTTTCAAAAAAAAATATTCAAAAATTTACGAATTTCAACTTGAAAATTGTCGAGGAACAGCGCGTAGAAAGGATGTTGCTCATGGACATTGCAGAAGTGAGGTTTACATCTCACTGCAGTCTGAAAAATTATCGAGAAAATCCACCCAAGAAAAAATCGGCTAAGTCCACGTAAACAGTACCACTAAACTGTCATCAGATTGAGGTTAACCCCGACGGTGCAAAACCTAATTTCAACGCAATGTTTATCTTTTTACACGAAACAGCTGTTTTCTGTGACGACACGTCTGCTAATCGCAGTATTGGAAGATTGCCGTAAAAGCTCAACGCAGATGTCGCCACTGCATGATGATGATAATGTTGACAGACTGCATATAAAATTCGTGAAAATTAGCGTTAAATCATAATTTTCATCAAGCCTGTGTAAAATCCTTGCAATATAACATTCGAATTGAAGAAGAAAACGTTTATACGATCAGACTGCTGTGCATCTTTGACTTTTCCAGTTGAACTTTCATAAGATATATTCATTTCATTTCGCGGCTCCATCAATGCTGCATCGTAAATATGATGTAAACAGAAGTAAATTGGCCAATTAATCAAAATAAAGATGATTTGCCATCTTGTTACCCATTCTAGTCAAAATTCTAGTACTACATTATGTTTGTTTTGATTAACTATGAAAGTTTGACAGATAAAATGAGGGGTTCATGGATTTCCCTATGTTTCGAGGGGTGCATCGATTAGCTTGGGACCGAAGATAGTACCAACAATCAATACGAAACTAACGATTTTAAATTGGCTCACCACTTTAGTAGCCTATCCAGCTTTCCATGCTCGGTAATGGTGGCCTGTTTGTATGAATAAATTTATCCTTCACTGTGCTATCTGGAGGTTCGGATTTTGTCCCCTCCCTTTCCCTCTTCCAGGAACAGAAGAAAATGAAACCACATACGCCCTCCAGTTAGTGTCAAAAAGCACAGTGAAAGATACATTTATTCATACAAACAGGCCGCCATTAACGAGCATGAAAAGCTGGATTGGTCCCAAGCAAACGATTAAAGTACTCTATTCTAGTTGAAATTCTATTACTACACTATGTTTGTTTTGATTCGCTATGAAAGTTTGACAGATAACATCAGGGGTGTGTGGATTCATGCAGAACATGCAGGGGTGAGTGAAATAGCTTGGGACTGCTTGGGACCGTTGTTCTGGTACTGAGTGAGCCAGAAATAATAATGATTTTCTTCGGGACCCAGTGGTCTTAGATTTACCTCTATGGTTTAACTAAGGTGCTATAAAAGTTATCGTAGGTCTTATAAAGCATATAGGTAAACCGAACGTAAACAATCATTTAAAAGTGCTTCAAGCAGCTTTTGAAGCGTTTAACCAAAAAGGCAATACAACCATAGAGGTAACTCTAAGACCACTGGGTCCCGAAGAAAATCATTATTATTTTTGGCTCACTCAGTACCAGAACAACGGTCCCAAGCAGTCCCAAGCTATTTCACTCACCCCTGCATGTTCTGCATGAATCCACAGACCCCTGATGTTATCTGTCAAACTTTCATAGCGAATCAAAACAAACATAGTATAGTAATAGAATTTCAACTAGAATAGGGTACGTTAATCGTTTGCTTGGGACCAATAGGCTACTAAAGTGGTGAGCCAATTTAAACTCGTTAGTTTCGTATTGATTGTTGATACAACCATAGAGGTAACTCTAAGACCACTGGGTCCCGAAGAAAATCATTATTATTTTTGGCTCACTCAGTACCAGAACAACGGTCCCAAGCAGTCCCAAGCTATTTCACTCACCCCTGCATGTTCTGCATGAATCCACAGACCCCTGATGTTATCTGTCAAACTTTCATAGCGAATCAAAACAAACATAGTATAGTAATAGAATTTCAACTAGAATAGGGTACGTTAATCGTTTGCTTGGGACCAATAGGCTACTAAAGTGGTGAGCCAATTTAAAATCGTTAGTTTCGTATTGATTGTTGATACAACCATAGAGGTAACTCTAAGACCACTGGGTCCCGAAGAAAATCATTATTATTTTTGGCTCACTCAGTACCAGAACAACGGTCCCAAGCAGTCCCAAGCTATTTCACTCACCCCTGCATGTTCTGCATGAATCCACACACCCCTGATGTTATCTGTCAAACTTTCATAGCGAATCAAAACAAACATAGTGTAGTAATAGGATTTCAACTAGAATAGGGTACGTTAATCGTTTGCTTGGGACCAATAGGCTACTAAAGTGGTGAGCCAATTTAAAATCGTTAGTTTCGTATTGATTGTTGATACAACCATAGAGGTAACTCTAAGACCACTGGGTCCCGAAGAAAATCATTATTATTTTTGGCTCACTCAGTACCAGAACAACGGTCCCAAGCAGTCCCAAGCTATTTCACTCACCCCTGCATGTTCTGCATGAATCCACACACCCCTGATGTTATCTGTCAAACTTTCATAGCGAATCAAAACAAACATAGTGTAGTAATAGGATTTCAACTAGAATAGGGTACGTTAATCGTTTGCTTGGGACCAATAGGCTACTAAAGTGGTGAGCCAATTTAAAATCGTTAGTTTCGTATTGATTGTTGATACAACCATAGAGGTAACTCTAAGACCACTGGGTCCCGAAGAAAATCATTATTATTTTTGGCTCACTCAGTACCAGAACAACGGTCCCAAGCAGTCCCAAGCTATTTCACTCACCCCTGCATGTTCTGCATGAATCCACACACCCCTGATGTTATCTGTCAAACTTTCATAGCGAATCAAAACAAACATAGTGTAGTAAT